CGACTTTACATACCAGGTCACAGTCCTTGGCTGTAACCAGCAGTACATACTTTGCACGCATAAGCAAATACTCTGCAGCATTTCCTGACTTATTAACTTCACATGCTCTGAGATGAAAGATACAGTACAGCCCTATCACTTCCAGAGAAATAAAGAATAAAAGTGTTATCTCAGAGTTAACATAGCCATTTTCACTAATGCTAAAAATCAACAACACACAGCCTCAAGCAAATGACAGACTGGTTAAAAAACCCACCTACACAATCACTATGTATTTTAACAGTGTCTGATGCTATCACAGCTATATCAGCACTGCAATATTAGAATTCTGCTTTACACTGGATAAACAAATGAAGGTGTCAGAACTTCAGACACAGCTAGCCTCTCATTGCACGTTCAGTACTTGCCTCACAGGTTTATTTTCAATAAATATACATCAATTTAGTAAAAGCAGTCCCCAACCCATCACTGGAACCAGAATGAGATACCAGACAGTTTCACAGGGCACATGCACATTCCTGAGCAGACAAGGAGGCAGGAACAAATTACGTGGAATTAGGATAAAAACCAGCAAATGATACTACAGGATGAAACCAAGAAGAAAAAGACATTTGGGGAGAAAAATTCTTGTCCTATCTCACTACAGGATTATTGCAAGCTGTACACCTTGGAATGCTATGACTGGAAGTCTTCTACCACACACCCCTAAGCCACAGTAGCATCCAGGAAAGAGACAGGATGAAAGTCCCTCTCCTCAAATAACTTAAACCTCAGTATCTTCACTCTTCGCAGTCTCTGCTGTTTACAGGACAAGAGAAAGCAAATTCCAACGAGAAGGTAAGGAACAAAGTGCCCTTCTTTTCTAAGGGAAAAGTGCAAGCAACACTTAAATGTTCTAAAATTCAGACAAATCCAATCTTGCACAAGTTACAGAATCCCATGCTAAAAACTGTAGTGTTTTCACCTCCCCACAAGCCAAAAGCAGCAATGGAAACTGCATTCCCTATTCACACAGAAAACTCTTTCACTACCTCTTAACTCATAAAGTTCTCTGGTTTCTGCACATCCGATGTTCTCAAGTACTTTCTTGGTTACACAGTTAGCAAGTACTCTACAAACATTCTAGCAAAACCATACCATGAACATTTCAAAAGTACAAATACATTTTAAACAGATTTTTCTCCTCAGTGGAAAGCAAAGTGAGGACAGAAAGACAGCATAGTTTTGTTTTCATACTCCTTACCACTGACAGGAATGGGACAGGAGTGCAGATAAACATTTAATAAAGATCACTTGTAGCTTCAGAATTTGTGATGTAGAACTCATTGTGATGTAGAATTCAAGCTATTAAAAAAAAAATCATCTGGTTTGAATCAGTTGTGATCAGCAGTGTGCACTGGATTATTTGTAACATAGAAACCAAGATACGAGAAGCTCTGCATTCATGGTAAGAAAACCAAGCTGAACCAATCAAGAAAACTGCTGAAAAATTCAGGGTATTGAGATTCCTGCTTCCCATTTCACTCCTCATTAGTGCTTTATTCTGTTGGTTCCACTAAGAAATATAATAAACGTAAGGCCCATTTACAATGTGTTGAATGATGGAAAAAAAGAGATATTTTCCTTTTCAAATTTCTGTCCCACCCCAAGTGCCTCTTAATTGTCTATCAGAAAAAGAGAAGAAACAAAAACACATCAATACCTTACCAAATCTCAGTATCCCAAGAACCTGAGTTTCAAGGGAACTTCAAAGAAAAGTATGAATCCTCTAGCCCTTTCTCCCCTTTTCATCTGGTTTGTCCTCTTCAGTCCATAGTTGTATTTCTACAACTTGGGCAAGGATACAATTGATATTTTGGGCTACTCCCCGTCTTACAATAAAACGGTTTCAGAAGAACCATCAAGACTAGTAAGTACTCAGTTTGCTGTAGTGTGGAGTAATAAAAAAAGAAATAATAACCATATATTTAGTGAGTGAAAATGTTACTACAACTCTCACATTCTTGCCTTTATGTTTCTCTTTCTCATACTTTATATCTTAAAGTGCCCTCTCTTTTGGGCCACCAGCCTTCAAAACAAATCAGAACGGTACCCTAAGTGTTTGGAGAGAAAAATCACTGCTGAATAGTAGAAAACATTAAAACCCCCTGACCTTCCACAACACTCCTAAAACACAACAAGCCAAGTCACTCTTGCCCTTGAAAGAGTGAGATTCTATAACATCAGTGGGATTACTTAGATAAATGAAGTGGGCAAAACTGGAAACAGAGCCTCAAGCTTGAAGCTGATGTGAGGTTTTTTTTTCACAGTTGTACGACAAGGCTATAATTACATTAACAAACCCGCACCATCTAAGCACTAACAAAAACATATACTATCAGAACAGTCTAGAAAAGAACATGAGAAAAAGCATCATTATATTAAGAAAAAAACAACAACCACAAACACAGAATTTTCTAAGAAGCTTTGAAATATGGCATTTCCAACATCAACTTATTTCTAGATATGATTACTTTAAACCATTCCTAACTGTGCTCAAATACACCTGGCAGCCCACAACCATATGACTAATGTCTCACAGCACTAGTCTTCGGTATTTGTATCTTCTAAATCTAAGAGGATAAAAATTATTTAAAAACATCAGGCATGACTTTTCTATGTAATCATCCAGGGAATGCAGTGTAACATTAGAAGGAATATTGTCCATAAAAACTTATCTATTTTACACTTGTTTTACCAATGAAAGATTTTAGGAGCCCATGTACATTCCACAAGTACATCATGAAAACTTTATCATCTCCATCAGAGAAAATAGCAAAAAAGTCCTAAAGTATCATCAGACAAGGGAATGTGTTTTCAGTCCTTCTGTTGAGGCCACTACTTTCATTTTGACAATTTAAGATACGTTTTTGAAACAGCATGAATCCAGATTTTATTGTATTGACAAACTTGGAAAATCACTTCTCAATTTTTTTGACAGCAAGCTCTAATTATGTCCTGTATGGTTTCCAAATGTATATTCTCTAAATAGCTGGAAGCGAAAATGGAATCTGGAGCAAAGCCATCACAGGGCTTTCATGCATTTCTTATTAATTTTTCCAAAACAGGTCATCAGTATAAGTACTGACTGGAAACAGGGATATTGTAAATACAAATACTGCAAGTTGCACATTAAACAGGTTTGTCAGTCTCTCTTCTGTGCAGGCAATTCAGCTTCACAGTTGAGCCATGTACACTAAAGCATGGATTCTCCCAAGCACCTAGGGCAAAATTCCTCTTTTTGTTTGTTTTGCATGACTGACACAGGTTAACAATTATTTCAAACACAACTCTTCTGAAAAAGGTCTTTATAATCTGTAATGAGAACTAAGGAAGTAAAGTCTCAGGACTTGATTTCTCTTTCACCTGTAAGATATTAATGAAACAATATTTATTCCATCTCTATAGGATGGCAAACACACAAGTGTTACTCACTTTGCTGTCTACTCTGTTAATGAGAGTGAAGATTCAAATTTTACCATCCAATACGTATACTCTTGAACTTTTCAGGACTACAGAATGTGTTAAAAAATTAAATTAGTAGTATACTCATGAGGCAGTATTATAACAAGTGCACTCTGGTGTCACAATTTTGCTTTACCTCAATCATACCATCTTCTATTCTGCTTTGAAAACACAAATTAAAGGTCTAAAACTAAACAAAACTTCATATTCACTATTTCTAGGGACAGTAAAGCCAGAAGTTTTATAGTGCCTGCATTAAAAAAAAAAAAAAAATCACCTGAGAAGGCCAGGTGTAACAAATAACATTGTCCTGTAATAACTTACCACCTCACTAATATTTACAAGGTAATTAACATGTTTTGAAGTACAGAGAAATTTAAGTATTAAGTTTGCCACTACTGGAATTTGCTGTTATAGCAAGTGGGACAGAGCAGTAGGCCTTACACAGCACATGATGCTTGTCAAAACTTTCCTATGCAACTTACAGCCAACAAGCTTCGTGACAACTACCTTTTCTAATTTTATCTGAGAAACATAAGCCAAGGCCCTCATTTATAATTCAGTGCTGCTTGTTCCATAAATTTATAATGTCTTTTAAAACTTTTTTATAATTAGGCTGCACTGTTTTCAATAGCAACATCATACTTCATAATATGCACCAAGTTTTGGTTTCTAATTACTTTTCAGCACCGCTTTGGACAAAATATACGTTTTACAATAGGTATCTTGTGCGCTTGAGATCCTGCTATTAAAAACAGCATTGAAGCCGACTCTAAGAGTCACTAGCATCCCTCACCAGCTGGCAGACGTGCCCTGGGGCGAGCAGCCTTCCCGCTGGGTCCTTCGCTCGCCGAAGCACTTCCACAGGAGGTTTACAGAGCTCAGACCAGGGAAGGGCAACAAACACCCTGGGCTTCGGCTGGCGAGGAGTGAGCGGATTTGGGCTTGCTGAGGCCTAGCGAGCGCATGGGGCCTCCGCCAGCCGCGGTCCTTCCCCCCCAGCCCCGCACAGCGCTCCGGACGGGCCGAGGGCCGGGGGAGAGGGGGCACAAGAGGGGCAGGCGCCCGGGATGCTCCGCCAACTGGGAGGGAGGGAGGCGGCCCCTCTCCGCAGAGCCCGGGGGAGAGGGACGGCGAGGAGCCAGCGCCTCCGCTTTGGGAGGGACCCGCAAACTTTAGTACCTGTCGGAACTCCACGAACGCCAGGAACTCCACGAACGCCAGCAACCCCTGGCCACTCCGGGAAGAGCTCTACGGGCTTTCCCTCCAGCCCCAGTACGAACTCTCGCAACGGACTTAGTAATAGTCTATACCCACGCAGGCAGGGGCTTCTCCTGCCCACCCCCCCCGCTCCGCGCCCCGAGAGGGGACCCCCTGGCGCACCTCCAGTCCCGAGGGGACCCTCGGGCGCGCCCCCCGCCCCGGAGCTGCCCCGGCAGCGCCGCTCCGAGCCCAACCCCGGCCGGGCCTCGCCGCCGCCCTGCCCTCGCGCCCACCTGTCCCGGGGGTCGATCCAGCTGGTCTGCTTGGTGTTGTGATCGATGTAGAACACTTTGCCGTCGTAATCCCTTGCCTCCTCCCAGCCATCGGGTAAGGGGAGCTGCCCATTCCCCGCTTTCCTAGGCATGGTCGAGCGGCGGGAGTAGCTGCTCCATAGGGACAGAAAGAAAGACGGGAAGCGGGAAAAGCCACGACCTGGGCCGGGGAAGGGGCCAGGAGCGGGGGCTCGCGGGAGCCCAGGGAAGCCCTGTGCGGCGGCCGGGTCTCAGTCCACCATGCCCGGGATGCCGCCTCGCCCGCGCCGCGCCGGCCGGGTCAGGGCTGCCGGCGGAGCCCAGCTGCTGTCTGGGCGCGGGGAACCCGGCTGAGCCCCGGGCGGCCCCGGCCGCCGCTCATTAGCATGAGATTAGCATCCATCTCATCTACATGCACATTCCTCCCGCCGCATTCCTCAGGGTTAACCCTGCCCGCGCTGCCCGCCGGGACGGGCAGGCCGTGGCCGCGGATTCGGCACGGGAAGCGTGCGGCGGGGCAGCGCGCAGGGCAGGACGGCGGGGGAGAAGCTGACAGAGGGACCCTCCTGCTTCCATCGGGCTCTGCCCGGGGGCTCGGCCGGCGTGAAGGCAGGACACAACTCCCTGCGGCAGACCAGGGCTCCGGCGCGTCCCCGCAGCCTGTCGGGACGCTGGGGAGGCCCGGGAGCCACGGCCGCCCCGCGGGGACAGCAGCGCCACGGCACGACGGACACCGGCGCGTCCCGTCCTTTGTCTGCCAAGTTGCCGCGGCCCCGCACCGGGTAGCGCAGGCGACTTTATCGCGGGGGATGTCCTGGCCCTGAGGGCTCAGGGAACGCGCCGAGGGAAAAGGCAGCTTTGCCAGTGCCTCCGTCAGTCGTGGCGGTGTCGAGTTCCCTGTCCCAGCCCTTCAAGGCGCGCTAACCTCACTTCACATCTTGTGAACTCTCCCTAAAAACTCCAGTAAGGCTCAAGGGTTCCCAAAAAGAACCTTCACGTTTAAAATACTTGAGTTCAAAATTTAAATTAACAAGTGAACTCTTCTTTAACCTTGGAAGTACCTAAACTTAGTGTCTTTAGTTTTGGTTTTATGTGTTTACTGGTTGGTTGTGGTTTTGTTTTGTTTTTTTATAACAGAAGCATCGGTGGAAAATACACGTACACCATGTGTGCCCTGAACCCTTGTGGCCTGAAAAGCAGGCAGCTAAGTCGCATTAAGTATAGAAACCAGGTGTGAGTTACTGTGTGTTTATCTCGCATTTGCCACAGGAGAAGAGTATCCCAGGCCGGTTACCATGGTTCAGCTGATAGAAGGTAACTTAATGAGCTCTATTAATTTGGATGTGTATCTGATTCCCAAGATCTGGCATCAGAAACAGAGCATCTATGGGGGAATATGACTCTTTAGTTTAGTGGCTAGGACTCCGAGGTAACCCAAGTCCCTGTCCCCTAGAATATTTTATTTCTTTTCATTTAAAGTTACTGGTTTAAAGTAACAAAATTTTCCTGGAAGAGGAAGTATGTGACCCAGAGCTGTCTTTTCTTATTTTCTTTTAAGGCTATTTATCTACTCCATTATAGCTGTCTAACATTCAGCTCTACGAATTCTTCTTCAGAGACAATTTACACTTATTAAGTCCTGGACTTGTTCAGTGCGTAACAAGTTTTTGGATTCTTCTTCAGAGGCCACATATCTGACAGGCATTGAAGTAACTAATTTACAGCTCTCTAAGTCCTACTGTTGGATCTGCTCCTAAATAGAAAAAAGTACCAGCAAGATATGATTTTAATTTAGCTAATTGTCAATCTGGTACAGGTAAGACCTTTATTATTTTATTCATTCTACTTATTTTACTGTGTACCACTGTCTCCACATGGCCCATATGCCTTCCTTCAGATTCTCTTGAAGATTTTACTTTGATATCTGTTATATTAAGGTCAGTCAGTCATGGCTAGGCTTTGCGAACGAAGATTAAGGTAATGTGCAGTGAATATTAAGGTCATGTGCAGTGAAACTTCATACATGAAGAAAGGCCCTGGTAGTTAAAAATGGAGAAAAACTGAGCTGTCCTAACTTCTGGATATCCATAAGAGTTCACCCACTTAGGGAATGCAACAGGATCATTGCCTATTAAAGTGACAGATGCATTTATTTTCATTGAGAATATTAAGTTTCAGTGAGCTGATTGGTTTATAAAGACCAGTCTTGTTTTCCATCAGTGTAAAAGAACCCCACTTTTACTAAGCATTTACATTTGCGTCTTTTTAAATAATCTACTAAATTTTATAAACTTGTGACATTCTACAGTGAGAAAGTACATGTGGCAGTTGTGGGACAGGATAAACTGGATTTCCTTTTCCCATTTAAAGTTCAGTTTGTGTTATCAATAAGATATTTCGTTATGTAAGTTGATAAAAAGCTATAGAGGATATACTTTTCTTCCTGAAATCAGTTGTACAGCTGTGTCACCACCAAGGCAGCCAGACCTACATCTTCGATTATTGGTCAGATGAGATACACAGGGATGTGGATCTGATTTATAAAAAACTTCTCATCAGAAAACATCAATATTTTAATTTGCACAACAGATAGAAATTGCCATTCTTAAATTTTTGGAAATAAATGCACTAATATAATTGCATAATTGTCTGATTTTTATGTATATGCTTGAGTGTTTATATACAGATGTGCTTACACTTAAATATAAACTATTGCATGGTGTTAAGCTCTCTTTATCCTCCTTCTAATTTCCATTGTTTGAGTACTTCATTGTGTTTGCCTCTACAGTTAGAGTCTACAGTCCAGAATGCCAGTTTAGGACTACTTAGAAATGACATTATTTGAAGTCAAACAGACAAAATTAGGTATTATTTTTGTAAATAGACCTTTAAGATTACCAGTGAGAACATACAGCTTTTTGAAGGACTGCTATTGTACAAAATAGGATCCAATTATCCTCCTAGGTTTTTGTTCTTTTGCAATTTGGACTGATAGAAAATAATTTCTTCCACTACCCTGTAATATTTTTTTAATAAATCTAGTAAAGGAAGGCAGAGCAGATGTTCATACTGATTCTTTTTAGCCTAAAATATGCTATAAATTCTAACTAGAAGTAGTTTTTCAAGTATACCTCCTACATCTCCATTGATAACCTGCCTAGCATGTTGTACTGACATTGTCAGCTGACAGCATACCACAGATTGTTTGTCTTAATTGCGTAAGACAGCACAGTTCAGAAGACATAAACATGCTTTATTCAAAACACAGAAGGGTGCATAGGAAGGAGGTGCCCAAAAGCACAGAACAATGTAGCTATGGCATGAACTTAAGTATCAGAAAGTATGATAAACAACAAGATGCAATCAACGAAAAGGAGTTAATCATTCCACTCTTTTTCTTTGCATGTTTAACCAGCCTGAAGAAAGTCCTGTTTTAAGTAGTACATAGTTAAAAGATTGAGCTAAAGGGAATTAGAATAATACCTATGTTGTGTCAGCTAGAAGAAGAAAAAATGTTTATGTGAAAATTCACAACACAAGGGTGGAAATGGCTGTATCCAGAACTGGGGTCTCCAAAGGCATATACTTGTATCCTGTCACATAACATACCCTACTCCAGTCTTTACTAATGTAATTAATCTCCTGATACTCTCTGCTTGCTTCTTCTTTCACAGTAAATCTGTTCCTGAGACTGACTGTAATCAACAAAGACGTGTTTGTACCTTGTCCTTCCCTGATAAGAGACTCCCTTAACTTGATGATCCACTAGAGTTTTATCCCTGATGAAATTTACAGCTGTTAGAGCTCTAACTTGTACTGTCCACAAACGGCTCTGAAGCAGGAGCCGCAGGTGTCTCCCTGAAAATCTGCATAGTTCAGTCTCCACTGCTTTCACACAGAATTTCAGTGCAGAATGGACTATGAAGTATGATGACAGAATTAATTTCTAGACACATCTGACAAAAATATTTGAAAATATGTATTGGTTATATTGGGGTTTTTTAAACACTTAAATCACCGAGTATGGACAGTGAGCCTGACTTCTGTCACGTGTAGCTACTGTAGAACTCTCAAAAAATAATCAGTATTTTCAGCATTTTAAATATTTGTTTGTTTAACAACAGTGAATTTTATCTGACAGCTATGTTTTCAAATAAAAAAAACCCCACACCAATAAATATGACTCCATGATGCAGTGAGATTTTTTAGTTTTAAAAAGGGTTTAAAAAATCCTGTAAAGAAAAACAGTGTACATGCATGAGGGAGGAAAGGAGAAGGAGTGCTGCTTTTACTGTTGTCACCTTCTAATGCATGTATACATCTGAGAGTAAAAGATACTGGACTAATATTGTTTCTGGTTGAATTTATCACGAAGCTCTGCAGAATTGATGGAGCCAGATAATGTTTACGCTTACTCAGCTTTTCTTGTTATTTCAAAGCCTGCTCTCTCCACTTAAATTCAATTGCTTAGATTGTTCTACAAAGACTTCCCAAAGTATCAGCAAAAAAAGACCATACCAGATTCTACTTCAAATGAATATATACTAGCTTTTTCCTTTTTTTTTTTTTTTTAATTTTGGCCTTTTTTCCTTTCTTTCAAGCATGTATAGGAGAGAGTAATGAGCAATTGCATGTTTTGAGTCCTTGCAGACATAACTAAAATCCTATGCCTCCTAGTAAGTGCACAGAACAATTTTAACTGATTGTTATTCTGATTAAGAGTTTAGAGTAGGAAATGGAAAGTTTAGAATGGAAATGATGTGGTATGAGATTTGCCTCAAACCTAGCTATGGAAATGTAACATTTTCATGATAAAGTCTTCTCAAGCTTGCCCCAAACAAGTCATTAAACTGACTTATCATTGAGTTCTGTTAATTTTGATTCATACTGCTGAAATGTCTGTGGACAAAATAAAAAGGAGATGAAGAATTTTGGTTATTCCAAAACTCCTATGACTGATGAAGTCCAAATTAGTCTCTGACTCATATTCCCAAAAAATTCTTGATCCAGTCTTGGTATTAACATCTTCCAGAGTAACACTCTCACTCTATTTTTTGTGTGTTTCTGATACTTGTACACACATTTAAGTGTCCTACCTTTCATCATATCTATGGAATTACAGTGTCTACTCACTGCTGTCTTATGGCTTTGGAAAACCACAAAGCATGCCTGGTCAGCCAAGAAGGTTCCCATGAGCCTGGTCTTTCCTTTTGGCTGCATGTAAGAAAGAAGCAGGCCAGCAATAGAGGGTATATGCTCACTGGCAGGGAGGGAAGAATGGAGGAGTTTCTCAGTAAGAGCTCCTTTGGCAGTGAACAGCAATTAATTTCTTCAAGTATTTAGGATCCTCCATCAAGCAGTATCCAAGTTTACAGAGCTAATGCTTTTAACAGTCCCTCTCTATTGCTACAAGGATTATGTGCTCCCACCACAACCAGTAGAAAGGACTTAGTCTATGCTGTGTTGTACCTAAGGGGGCACAACAGATGAAATACAAAAAGTAAAGTTTTAGCAATAATATTCTGAAGTACGTTTCTGCTCTCTGTCATACATGTACTTTCAGAAACACCGTGCAGTGAATGAAGTAGACTTGAGTAATAGAGTGTTTAGCGTCTGCATTACAAAAGAAAAAAAGATCCTCCGACTGATGGAGAGGCTTAGGGAACATTTCTTCTAACAAATAAAAAATCTTATTTCAAATGCAAAGAAGTATGAACTTGCCGAACTATAATATGAAGAAAGTTCTTTTCTCCTTTACCCACTTTTCATATCTTCTTTCCCCTCAAAAAATACTGTTTCTTTGCATGAATACAAAGTACTTTGATGTTTGGCCTGACCAACAACAAAGTAACCTCAATCCTATCTTATTGCTAAGTTAAGCTAAAAACTGTGCTGCAATAATAAAATTTGAATCTGTGCAAATTTATAGCAAAAATGGGACTGATGCATTAATACCAAGATTTAGCACTTCTAGACTGCTAGAGGTATTGCTGAATTGTATGAATCATTCCATGGCAATTTTCATTCTAGTCTGGTTATCCAAAACAGAGAATCACAATGTTTGCACTTTTTGGAGGATTGAAACTATTTTGAAGAACACAGCATGATACTATTATGTCCACTTTGTAGTGGACATTAAAAAAGAATCGTGTTAAGTGACATGATGGAATAAAAAATACCTAAATTAAATTGGATAGGGATTAGAATGTAGGGTGCTTTCAGCTCCTGAGCTGAAGCTATTGAACTGAATTGTGTTATTTTTATTATTCCAATATGTGGTCTCAGGAGTACTTTGGATAAGCTTTCTTATCACAAGAAAAAGATTATAATTCACACAAAACCTCCTTTTTTTGGTATCTCATTCCCAGGTAAAATGTGTATGAAAGTTATCAATTCCATATGGTCAAGCATGTGTTATGAAATGATTGCATCCAAACATGACAATCCTTTGAATTTCTCAGTGGAAAAACAAAACAAAAGCATAAATTGTAGTTAGCTGTACTTGTGTGGTCATAAATGAAATATACTAATAAAGAAACCACCTCCAACAGCATAAGAAGATTACACTGAATAATAAAAAAAAAAATTGAATCTAGGCAGTCTGCAAAATTCAAGTACTAAATAATGATTAATCCTCAGAGTATGAAATGTCAGAGCTGTTGCTCATAACCAGCTGTTCTATAAAGGTGTACAAGTAAAGCAAAAGGATATATAGTTGATGCTTATATCAAAGGAATCACAGAATCATGGGATGATTGAGGTTGG